GTCGACGCACCCTACCGTAGAACCCAACAGGTTTCCTGTATATCTATCACCGATAGCCCCTCGTGTTCCAACTTGCCACGGTACCCCCGCCTGTGTATTCGTGTCATAAGAACCTGCAAACAATGTCATTGCACTACGTAAGTAGAATACGATTTTGAAGTCCACAAACATGTCAACTGTCCTTTTTTGATCATGCATCGTAACTAAGCTCGCGTACTGCTCTATTAGTGGCAGCAATGGTCCTGTAGAAATGAGTTGATTGTACTCTGTTGCATCCCAAAATGGAGCTTGTGGCCTTCCATAAAACCATGAGTCAGCCCTGTCTTCATGATTCATTTTCTCTGCTTTACACACTGTGTTTTTGGTAATTGCACGAATAAGAACACATCATTACTCGGTATTTTGAATTCCATTTGTTTGTTGTTTGCACATAAAAGGAAACATGACAATCTTATCACATTTATGTCGTAAACAACTATTACAGCATGGCAAGTAGGAATTATCGTAGGCGTGCATTTTTCAGATGATAGGGCACGCATGTTCATCCTCTTTTCTACAATCTGGATGACAACTAGTTTGTCGAACTGATGGCAACTGATAATATAATATGATGGCAACTGACGACATAGATAGGTGGCAACTGCCGACATATGTAGGTGGCAAATATATTTTTTTCACTTCATATGACCTACCCAAAATTGCTCTGTTCTGCCCTGTTGTTAGTGAATCTCAAACATCCTCTTCAAACACCTGCTGACAGTATCTGAAACCTAATTTCTTAGATCATATCCATGATAGAACATGGCAAATTTGTGATCGTTGGAGGGCAGAGGAGAATAAACATGAACAGCCAGAACTGTGGATCCAGTCGCCATCTACATGGGAAATCTACGACGGGGTCGGGAGGGAGAGTGGATGGGAATTTGGGAAGGAGGAGGAGACATGTTTTCTGACCTGTGAGCTTGTTGTCGTCTTTTTCCGTCGATGGGGGGTGTGGGCGCTAGGGATCTGATATGGTTGCCATGGCAACTAGAGAAGGAAGCCGACGGAGGTAGGGGAAGATCTGTCGATGCAGAGGTTGGAGATGACGACGGGCGGTGGCAATGTGATTCGAACGCGGGGATTCGACCGATGGGCGCGTGAGGTTGTGCGGGCAGCGGGTTCGCTCATCCGGACGTGCGGGCGATCGAGCCACACACCAGATGTGCGGGCTATGGATGGGAGCGCCCGGACGCCGTCGTGCGGGTTGGTCCGTGTCTATGCCACACGGGCGTGTGGCACACACCCCTTAAATACCACACGTGTGGTGGTTATCCGCGTCTTTTTTTAAAGGTGAATCATGTGCTAGTTTTTTTGATTCTCAGTAATAAATGAGACTGTAGCCTGGCTCCATCGTCCAAATCAGCAAAAGAAACACCTGGAACCAGATCCAGCCGGATTCCTTGGCCGCGAAGGGCCGAGACGAGCATGAACGTGGCACGCGCGTCCAGCCAGCTAGGCGTACCGTGGGCTGCCTCTCGAGTTTTGGTCGGCCAACATCAAAATAGCTGTCGCGTGCGTCGGTTGCACAAGCGCCCGCAATTCCCCTCCCTCTCCCTTCTCTTAAACCAATCAGACGCTAGAATCCTTGGCAATTCGCCGCTCCTCCGATCCGTTCGTCGCCGCCGGGATCGACCATGTCGTACGCCTACCTCTTCAAGTACATCATCATCGGCGACACAGGTTCGCACAATCTCTCCCCTGCCCCTCCCGAATCTCTCCCGTATGGCCCCTGGGTAGGAATAGGATCGGATCCGCGAGGCTGCTGAGCTGCTTTCTTGGCCATGCGCGCCGCTTGCTTCGTGCGCGTCGTGATTGCTTTTCTTTTCTTTTTGCAGGCGTGGGCAAGTCATGCCTGCTGCTGCAGTTCACCGACAAGAGGTTTCAGCCCGTGCACGACCTCACCATCGGCGTCGAGTTCGGCGCCCGCATGATCACCATCGACAACAAGCCCATCAAGCTCCAGATTTGGGACACGGTTCGTGCTCCACGCCGTGCCCTTTCTGTTACAACTAGCAACTCTTGATTCAGATGCAATTTAATTTTGGCCAGTATAGTTATTTTCCCTCCTACTGCTTGCAGTATTGCCCTCCGCGGAGTAAATGAAGCATACATTCCTTGCTTTATTGTCTTGTCATATGCTACTCCTCCCATGATGTAAGACGTTTTTTTGACTCTAGTGTAGTGTAAAAAAAAGTCTTACATTATGGGACGGAGGAAGTAGTTTACAGTATATCTAGTAGTTATGGATCACTCTCTCTGGTCAGAAAAGGATGCCCCATTTGGGCATTTGCTGCTTTGGCACGGATTCTAAAAACCAATTTCCATCTCTCTATTGGTCACCAACTTCCGTTGTACTCCCTCCGTCCGGAAATACTTGTCATCAAAATGGATGAAAGGGGATGTATCTAGACGTATTTTAGTTCTAGATACATCTCTTTTTATTCATTTTGGTGACAAGTATTGTCGGATGGAGGGAGTAATATTTAATATATTTGCAAAGCCTAATAAAAGATTATAGTAATCCAGTGTTTCCCAGATAAACCTACTAGTATGCATTTCTTGAGACGGTCTAAGTAGTACGTATTCACCAAGGTGTTTTTTTTAGTTAAAGTTCTAATGGTTTGACTGCATTTCCCCCCAATATGGGGACACTTTTGTACCGAAGGGGTCCTTTTGTGGCCACTTAACTTAAGAGTTTCGCACTCATGTTTATACTTGTTCTTTTAGCTTGTTCATCATACCATGTTATGATTTGCTTTTCCTTAGTTACATAACAAGTTTTGCTGTTGACGACTGCTTAACTAAATTGGCATGTGATTTTGCTTGGGATTGCATGTTTCTGTAGTCCAGGATCCACAGTGGTTATTGAGTTCGACTTCACAGAGCCCTCCATCTCATACCTATCATTTCTTCACATTACAGGCTGGCCAAGAATCATTCAGATCTATAACAAGATCATACTACAGAGGTGCTGCTGGTGCTCTTTTGGTTTATGATATCACCAGGTACAGTAGGTTTGGGAATACAACACTTTTTGTGTTCAAATTTCTGCATGCTAATGGTCCTTCCACCTGACTGTCCATACTTCAGGAGGGAAACTTTTAACCATCTTGCGAGCTGGCTAGAAGATGCAAGACAGCATGCAAATGCCAATATGACAGTGATGTTAATCGGAAACAAATGTGATCTGTCTCATAGACGGGCTGTCAGCTACGAGGAGGGTGAACAGTTCGCCAAGGAGCATGGTCTAGTCTTTATGGAGGCATCTGCAAAAACAGCACAAAATGTTGAGGAGGTGATGGTTTATTCCTAGTGTGCTTTGTGGGATTACACTTTTTAGTTTGTGCCCAAAAAGAAAACTCACATCTTTTTTGTGGTGCAGGCATTCATTAAGACGGCTGGAACAATATACAAGAAAATCCAAGATGGTGTTTTTGATGTATCTAATGAGGTGAGTGTTAAATTGCATGAATTTTCTGTTTATCAAATAACCAAGTTAAATATATTGGTCTGGTCTCCTTCTGGTGCCATACATAACTTGTACTCCTCTGTTCCTAAATATATAAGTCTTTTTAGAGATTATAATATGGACTACATATGGAGCAAAATGAGTGAATCTACACTCTAAAATACGTCTATATACATCCGTATGTAGTCCATATTGGAATCTCTAAAAAGACTTATATTTAGGAATGGAGGGAGCATAACAGTTTTTTACTGGAGATCTTGTCATAAGAAAATGCAACAAAATGGCTTTGGGGATATGTTGCTTGTTGCATGTGACACCCAAGAGGGTATCTTATCAGGTTGTAATCATTTAAGTTTTGGTAGGAGGACAGGTGTACTTGGGCAGGTCAACAAACTTTTCTGTGTTAGTAGTAATTGGAAGTGTGATCATGTGCTTCTCTTAGCATTTGATCATCTAAGCATCAGGGGATGAGTGTGGATAGGTGATTAGATGAGTCTCCAGTTATATATTCTCTCTGTTCTTGTCTCCTGTATTTTTTGCTTTGTGCCATTTATTCATTTGTCATTGGCAGCTCCTTTCGTTCCATTCGATACCCCATAAATGCAGCTTTTCGTCCTTTAGTAGTGTTGGCGAATAGATGAAACCAAAGTTTGATTTACATTCATTCTTCTTCTAAGAACGTCTCTTCTGCTTTATTCTGAAACAGTAGTTGTTTTCATTTCCTGTAGTGCTGATTGACTAGGCTAGCACTTCTCCTCCCCCAAACTAATGTTCTCAATGTATAATGTTCTTTCCTTATTCGCTGTAGTCCTACGGAATCAAGGTTGGCTATGCTGTCCCCAATGCATCTGGAGGTGGTGCTGGCTCGTCCTCTCAAGCAGGTGGCTGCTGCAGTTAAGCAAGTTTACGACCAAGTCCTATGATGTGAGACTGAAAACAGCTGCCCAGGTTGTTGTCCTTCCTTCCGCCATTGACGGTGTAATCAGTGAGCAAATGTTCATCAATGGTGCTTGTCTACACTGCGCAATCTTTATGTAAAGCAAACATCTATAGTTTCTGTCCATTTGTCTGTAATGGTGTGGCTATTCATTTGTTCGATGTAATAATGCTTTGTAGACTACAGACATGGCTGTGCAGCAATCGCCCTGATCCATGTCACAATATTTGCCCTCATCCTTCCATTGCGCAGTATTTGTCCACGCTATTTGTGCTTGTTGTTGATGATGCATTTAATACTTGTCCAATAGCAATAGTCACAACCATTGTTCAACTTTGTCGGATATTACTCATACTTTGTCGGAACATACCAGATAAATTTCCTAGAAATGGGATTCATGACACAGTAATAATCACAATATAAAGATAGCACACTTTTGAACACCCGCAATATAAAGCTAGCACACTTCAGAACATCAGTCAAACACCAACAACATAACATAATTCCACATCAAGAACAGCTGGTACAGCCAATATCAACGTCTTCTTGGCTCTAATAAGAATATTGCTCCGTACAAGTAAGAAACCAGATTACACTGCACACAAGCATGCAGTGCAAAATTTCCAAGGTATAACATAGCTCAGCGCCCCCTGCCACGACCGCGCCCACGACCACGGCCGCGCCCACGACCCATAGGTTTCCCTGCATCCAGATGAAGGAAGGGGTGTTCAGAGGACGGCGCCAGTGATAGTGCATAAACAAAATAGAACACAGAAAGACACTAATACCAAACCTGCAGTAGGCTTCTTAGGCTTCACCCTTGGTGTTTCCTCAACCAGCAACGTCTCCAGGTTTAAGCTGTCAGGAAGGATGTAATATCGAATGTTGTTTCCCCTCACACTAAGGTGGTCAAGGGTAACAGGATTCTTCCCTTTCAATGTGAGCTTGACAGTCTTCAGATGAGTATTCATGCTGATGTCGACGCCTACAAAATAGGCATGAACTCAGGACACATGCATACACTACTAATGAATACACTTCAGGATGATTACAGGCCATAATACAAAATGATGAGAAAGAAAATCATATCAGAGGACTGACTGACAGATTAATTGTAACTAAAATATGGATATGAATGCAAGACTAGCACTTCTGAAACCAGAATCCACTACTTTTACTAAAACAACACAGCTCATGCCATTTTCAAACTCTGTTCCAGCAAAACTCCTATATGTTCACATTAGATACTCAATAACTTGAAAAAAGTTGAAAATACAAAACAATATTTCCTACAACCTTAACATGTGGTTTACATCCAATACAAATTTCGAGTGTGTAGATATCACAGGTAGGAAACATCAGAAAGTACTAATGAAGTGAGATCCGATGAATGAGATATGTAAAGTATTTGAGGACATTCCTAAAATCAATAACCAACATGACTATCTAAGCTGCAGATGTTATTATTCAAAAAGGAAGATCAACTTTACTTATCTGAAGTCGTTAGAACTTCATAACATAGTAAATTGTTCATTGCTATATCAGAGCAAGTATAATAGGATGACATAAGAGGTGCCATATCATATTTATGATGAGTTGGAGGAGAGACAAGAGAAACGGGCTATAAATTAGTTGCTAGCTCAGCACAGGCTGCAAGAAGCACTGTCAGAGAAGGAGAAGGGACAGGTAGTGATAAAGTAGAAAATGCCTATAGTTAACTAGTACTCCTATATGGGTTGGCTTTTAGTTAGGCTATACTCCCTCCTTTACTAAATATTTGTCTTTCTAGAGATTTCAATAAGTGACTACATACAGAGCAAAATAAGTGAATCTACACTCTAAAATATGTCTATATACATCCGTATGTGGTAGTCCATTTGAAATTGATAAAAAGCCAAATATTTAGGAACGGAGGGAGTAGATGACATGACTACTATACAGAGCCAGCAGTTGGCTATGCTATTAACCATGCTCTCAAACGATGCCAGCTCATGAAGGAAACATTATATTCTTAGCATTTTTACTGCACAGAATTACATTTGCAGAATACATTTCAATTAACTAGCTTAACATCTTAACAAATCTCTACTCCTAATGGAGCAGTTGGTGAATAGTCTCCACGGTTTTTTTTCGCTGGTTTTTTTTCGTCTCTCCTCCCACCACCCCCTGGTCCATCGGTTTATTTTTCTCTCCACTCTTTATTACAACCAGGACTTTCCTAATGTATAACAAATCACGGATCTAACTTCCTTAAATTATTCATATCAATCGATTCCTTTTATTGGTTCAATTTGTCTTAGGAAACAAATAACAATTTTTTAAGAAACAAATAATAGATTTGAACCTAACTTTCCTAACTTATCTAAATCAATCGATTTCTCTCATTAGTGAAATTTGTTTTAGGAAACAAATAACAGAGACGTCACAAACTTTCCTCCCAATAAATAGTTTCTTAACATTTGCAAACTTTCCTAATCAGACACGTCACAAACGGGCAGGTACTGATATCATGTTACCAAACAATAAAACCCCATTTGCATAGAAATCAGTTCAAAATCCTAACTTTCCTAAATTTTTACCTTTCCTTGATAACATCCAATATTTCCTATGTTTTCCACCTATTGAAGGAAATCACCCCTCCATCGATATTAGCATTTTTTTGGAATGAGATCTCCGGGTTATGATTTTTTTGCGATTCTTTTCAATTTTGACCTCTCCTTCCGCTCCGGCTCCTTCTCGCATAATCACCTCCACCACAGTCAGCTGACGCCACCCTAGACCTCTTGCCTCTCCACACCTTCTCCGCCCCCTCCTCATACTCCATTGACAATCCCTCCGCCACGTTTGTCCACAGCGGTGTCGAGGGCATGGCGCAACAGCGTACCAGTGGTAGAGCAGCGCATAGCAGCAGGAAGAAGCACGCAGCAGGCGAGGCGAGCAGCCGACGATGGAGGGCAGAGATGCGGCCGGCGTGGCTGAGGGGGCGGCCGACAGAAGATGGCCGCGACAGGAGGCTGCGCGAGGCAGGGGCGCGACAGCGGGGCGAGCGAAGGGATAGGCGGCAGCAGACGGGGCGAGCCCAGCGAGCGAGAGTGTGACGCGCGGCCAGGGTGTGCGTCGCGCGGGGCACAGTGGTGCGATGGCTGTGGCGAGCGTGATGGCAACGGCGGGCGCAACGGACGCGATGTGGCACGTGCGTGGGCATGGAGAGCCAGAGAGGGAGTGGCCCCGCGGGCGCGGAAGAAGAGCTGAAGGCTCGGGCATGGGCTCGCATAGGAGCGGGCATGTGCCACGGGGTCAATCCGAGGAGCTCAGTGGCTACCCCTGCAATGGCCATGGCGGACGGCGGTTCTCGGCCACGGCGAAATACCTAAGGAGAGCAAACGAGAGGGGAAACTGGGGAAAGGCAAGAGGAGATCACGCCGGTGTCAATGGCACCCTAGGGGAAGACAGGGGAGCTCGGGGCGGCGCGGATCGAATGACAATGTCGCGGTGGCCGAAGGTTGAGGAAGACGGCAACGACGTCGATCTGGGGGTGCTGGACTTGATCTCGTTGGCGCAGACCAAGTAGCGGAGGCATTCGGAGCTCCTCGACAAGCTCCTAGCCAGCAGGGAGGGCAGTGGCCGTGTGGACGGGGTCGGTCATGGTGGCCGTGGCATCTGACTTCGTCCAGATCACCGGGATCGAGTGAGCGAGGAGGAGAAGTGGATCTGGGAGGGGGCGTCGAGGAGTGAGGCCATGGGGGCAGGGGAGGCAGGGCGTCACCCTTATCCATTCCCCTTCGATGCCGGCGAGGTGGTCGGGGAACAGGAGAAGACGACCGTGCGGGGACTGGACCACTGGGCCGGTTCGGCGACAAGGCCCGGAGGGTAGGGGGAATCCCCTTTTTCATCTTCCTTTTGGTTTTAATGTATTCTAATCCGTTTCTCCTTATTAACACCGTTTTCTATTTATTCTTATATCAACTAAATGGATTTTGTTAATTGTGAAACTATGCACACAATTCGAGCACAATATTTTTAGGTGGCACAAAAAGTTTGGGGCCAAAAGGAAATACATAAAATTAGGTTTATATTTAATTGGTTATGTTAACTACTGTTGGACCTCTTATTAATTTGACAAGATTTAATTTTTGGGTCAAAAAATGTTGGGCTCAACATGTCAAAGATCAGTGGAATTTATAGAATATGGTGGACATTTTAGTTTTACTGTTTGACGAAATAATTTATTTGACTTCATTTTAAATTTGAATTGGGCTTTAATTTTTATCAAGTGGCAGTTTGGCTTAGCAAGCCTAATGACATGGCATCATTAGGAGGAGGTCACTGTAGCTAACGACTTGAGGTGTTACATAATCTTCCCATTTTTGAAATTTCATTGTTAAATGATTGGGGAATGTATCACACTATCCATTAGTTCAGTCAAGCTCACCACAAGTCCACACATTATTGCCAATTGAGTGAGTCTTATTGGCGGGGAGAATAGGCTATGTGTGTGTGTGTGTTAGAGAGAGAGAGGGAGAGAGAGAGTGAGGAAGAGGGAGGGGAGAGAGTGTGTGTGTGAGGATTTGATGGTAAAAAAGGTCGCCAATGTCGTAATATTGAACTCTTAAAGTTAATGTGGCCCCGTTGCAACGCACGGGCGTTCTTCTAGTACAATTAAATCTATAAAATGAATTAACATGCTCTCAGTCACCAGATTTATCAAGCCTGTCTATTAGACAGGCGTATACAGGGACTATGGAACCTATAGATGCTGCAGTCTCAACCAAGAGCATGTAACTTTAAATGGACGTGGAAAACAAGACTAAACAATCAACCATGAAAAGATTTGCAGAACCAAGCATGTGGCAACATGAAGGTAAGTACAGCTAGCACATGCTGAGTTTATTTAACATGCTATATTACCTTGTATCAAGTTACAGACAGAGTAATTCTATAGAACGAATGTCAAAATACACACTATTAAAGCTTACTTAGCAAGGCATAGAAAACTGTCCGCCTGAAGTTTTCCTACAAAACCTAATATATTCCACCAGGGATTCAAAACATGAAAAAGGTAATTCAGTAAGAAAATACTCCCTCCATTCACAAATATAAGATGTTCAAACCTTTTTCTAAATCAGATGTATATAGACACGTTTTAGTGTGTCCGTTCACTCATTTCAGTCAATATGTAGTCCGTATTGAAATATCCAAAACATCTTTTATTTGTGGACGGAGGGAGTACATTTTAGGTTTCATTTATACTTTCTTTGCCATTTCCATTTCAACATCCGGTAACCTACTCATCTGGTCATCAACATCTTCTCATCGCTCAACAGTTATCCAATCTATGTTTGGTTTACCACGACATAAGCAACATTACCTACTGAAATCAGGATAATTAATCAAACAATTCCCATCAGAATTTGCTACTTCTACTACTAGTAACCTGAGTAAGTAAACTATACGAATAGATGCAACATTAAGAGATACACATAAAAGCTTAACCAAAAACAAAAATACAGACAGCTGCAGGATACGACTAAAAGGAAGGCTCAAGTGCACACTAGCTCGAGATGGCAGCAAGCAGATGACAGCGCTGAAGACCAACAAACAGCCCTGCTATGTCCATGGTTCCAATGACAGAGACAGAGGCTTTGCACAGAAAATCAAGTGGCTTCTTAAAAGTCATAGCAAACAGGCGACATCGCGCTGGCACCGTCACCAAATGCATCGAACCAAACAAGTGAACAACCCACCACCTCAGCAAAGAACGCCCCCCCCCCCACCCCTCTCCCTCCCCTCTCTCTCCCACCCAACACCCACACAAAAAAATCTAGTTCTCTCAGTAAAGATCGGTGCGCATCATACCAATGATGGTGCCGTGGACGGTGGTACCATTCTTGAGCTCGATGGTCACCGTCTCGTTGTTCAGCTTCATCAAGAATCTGCAGGCCACCCAAATCCGCACCAATTTGGGCGAAAAATTGCACCGGAAGAATCAGTAAATTCCAGGGAAATCGAAACTGAATCCTAGGAAAAAGGTCGAACAAGGAGCACCGGTTACCTGACGAGCTTCATTGTGGAGGCGCTTGGTGGCGGAGGTAAAGCTAGGGTTTTTGCAGGGAGCTGCCACGAGCTGCTTCTTTTCTCAGCGGGGAAGGAGACATAAACCCCCGATCTGGGAGAGAGACTTCGACCTGGGCTTAACTGGGCCGTAGTTATCGGATTCACTGCCTTCTGCGAGAACTCTAAGGCCGTAGTTAACGGGCGACCACTTGCGGCCTGGCCCATTTAGCTGCGGCCGATCGCTCTAGGTTCGAGGCTCGACCGGTTTATTTTTTTTCGTCTTATTTTCTTTTTTCCTTGATTTCATGGTTTTCTTTGTTTTATTTATATTTTTCACTCTGGTTTTCTTTGTTTTCTTATTGGTTATTTTTTCTTCACTTTTTTACTTTTGGTTTTCTTTGATTCTTTTTATTTCTTTTTTGGCTTTTACCATTTTCTTTGTTTTCAACACATGTCAAATTTTTCTCAATACAGAACATACATTATTAGAGCACACATGGAACATTTTCTGATGCACGTTGGACATTTTTAAATATAAATGGTGTACATGTTTTGAACACTTTTTTTAATACGATGGTAATATTTTTTCAAATACACGTATTATATTTTCAAAAGGAAATAAACATTTTCTTAAAACTATGAAAATATTTTTCTACATTTTATGCACATTTTTGAAAACTTCACGGATATTTTTGAAAACACGTGAATATTTCATAAAATGTCACGCTACAATTTTTAAATGGAAAGAAAAAAATAATCTATGTGAACATTTTTTTCATATTTTTATATACATTTTCAAAATTTCATGAACATTTTTTGGGATGTGGGAATATTTCCATCAAATGTGACGTACATTTTTTTAATGGCACGGAACATTTTTTTTACATTGTGTACACCTTTTTTAAATCGCATACATTTTTTTGAAATGCGGGAAAAAATTCATTGTCCCGAACATTTTCCTTGAAAATTATCAACATTTTTTCAAACTGCTATAACAATTTTTTAATACTATGTTCGCATTTTTCAAAATTGTGTTTTAAATTTCCTAAGTAAATTTAAGTTTTGAACTATATGCATTTAATTTAAAATATAAATAAAAGAAAAAACTCGGGTGATGTCAGGATGATGTTAGCAGGACGAGCCATGTCTTACTGGGCAGGCCCACCACATGCACCCTATAAGCGAGGTAGTCATGCGCCTCATAATAGGCGGCACATAGGCTTGTTTGGTCGGTGGCCTCGGTTGCATGCCTGGTAAAAACCAACAACCTGAAGATTACTCCGAATCTTTACTGACGCCTAATAAACCCGGACGAAGAGAGTAGCTATGTCCTCATTTATAAAGCTCCTTTTCTGCCTGGGCTTAATAAACCCGGACAAGGTACCTCGGTCTGACGAAATAATGTGATGGCCAAAAAAGTTTACTAGTTTTTGATAGAATATATCACACCATGTACTATTTGTATGAACTAGTGTTCCCAGGCTGGCCAAGCGCTAGAAAAAAGACAGGCCAATTAATTTGCTTGGTTTAGAAGCCAGGCTAACCAAGTTGTGGTGTGTTCAGGCCAAGTTGCATCACGTTTTTCCAAGACAGCAAACAAACACTCTCCATCATGTTTTTCCAAGACAGCAAACAAACACTCTCCAAGCACATCCCTAGCAGGCTCCAGGCCAGGCACTCAACGGCCAGGATGCGAATCAAACTGACTCATAGTCGCATCCTATATAGCAATGCCACATTTTTTGCCATACAACCATGTCACCTTCCTACCATACAGCCCTGCCACCTTTCCTGCCATCCACCATAGTGACCTGCTCCCCTTTGTGTTTGAATTTCAAACTAGTTGGCGTGGGCACTAGCTAAGCATCATTTATTTATCATAACGGCTAATTAAAATGAGTTATTACTTGTTGACTAATCACACATGCTAATTAAGTGGCACTCTTGCACACATTAATCTCCTAGTGTTATCTTTGAAAGTTTGAACATTTGCACAAACAAGGTGCCAAATTGCTAACAACGCAGATACAATACAAAGTTCCATCCATAACAGTTCGGACTTTTGCAAAACAATTGCAAAAAGGCATATATTTAATAAGGTGCTCAATTGAACACAAAGTTCCATATATAAAAAAGTTCGGACTTTTGCACACAATTACAAAGTGCCATACGTTCTAATAAGGTGGTCAAATTAATACAAAGTTACACTCAATAAAATACAAAGCAATACAAAGTTCCATCTATAAAAGTTCAGACTTTTGCAAACAATTACGAAAATTGATATGTTACAATAAGGTGCTCAAATAAATACAAAGTTTCATATATGAAATTTCAAACTTTTGCACACAATTACAAAGTGTCATATGTTCTGCTAAGGTGCTCACATTAATACAAGGTACATTGAATACAATACAAAGCGAGAGTGGCGTTTGGCACCTGGGAGTATATGCTCCTGATTTTTAAAATGTGTCTTAAACACATTTTGAAATGTCAAAAAATGTTGACAAAATGTTTTGGGCGTACATATCGACATTCTACGTACTCACAAAGTCGGTTCGAAAAACTGACAACTTTTGTGTCGCGTGTGAAAGAGATAAAATTTGGTGTTAAAAGTGGCTTTTCACTAGGCATTTTTGTCTTTTTTACACAAACCACAAAAAATGTTGGTTTTCCGTGAAACTTGGCGTGCCCACATAGAATATCGAGATGTACACGTCAATTTTTTTTTGGAATTTTTGACATTTTGAAATGTTTTTCCAATAGCAGGAGCATATGCTCCCATGTGCCAAAGTGCATTTCCGATACAAAGCAATACAAAGTTCCATCTATAAACATTTAAACTTTTGCGCATGATTACAAAGTGCCATTGTTTTAATAAAGTGATCAGATGAATACAAAGTTCCATCGAATACCATTTCATCTGTAAAAGTTACAAAGTGCCATCTATTCTAATAAGGTGCTCAAATTCATGCAAAGTCCCATCGAATACAATAGAAGCAATACAAAGTTCCATACATGAAGTTCAGAATTTTGATTACAATTTACACAACATTGCAAATGTTTAGAACACCCAATATTGTCCTTTTTCCACCTAGGTATGAAGAGATCAACCAAAAGGATGACTAATATCAAGCAAAGAAACACCATCACCAACTCCTAATCGTCTAGTCTGTGAGTAGGCAAAGATTAGAAATAGGAATCATGTTTTACCATTTTATTATTCTACATGTGCTTATGAGTTTTTCTCTGAATCATGTATTCCAGAATCATAACAGTTGTAGAATAGAATATAAACTCTTAATTATAGAAAATATACAAATATTATTGCATCTAGTGCACATTTTCAACATAAAAACCCGCATCTTGCTTCTATTGTATTGATTGTGATGGAGAACAAAGTACACGATGATCTACCTCGGGATTGTATGTGTATGAATCTAACTTAACTCTACGGACCAAACCCCTCGACTTATATAGGCATCGAGGGTACCTAGGGTTACTGTTGGGGAACGAAGCATGAAAATAAAAAATCGTACGAACACCCAAGATCTATCTAGGAGAAGCATAGAAAGGAGAGGGGAGAGTGTGTCTATGTACCCTCATAGACCGGTAAGCAAAAGCATATATCACGCGGTTGATGTAGTCGTACTCGTCACGATCCAATCCCGATCCAAACCGATGAAGTACCGAACGGACGACACCTCCGCGTTCAGCACACGTACGGCTCGATGACGTATCCTCCTCCTTGATCCAACAAGCGAGGAGGGAGAAGTAGATGGGATCGCCGGCAGCACGACGACATGACGATGATGGTGGTGGAGTGATTCCCGCAAGGTTACGCCAAGCGCTACCGAAACAACTAAGATGGAGGAGTTACAAAGTAATGGAAGAGAGAGGGGGCCAAGGGCTTGTGTGTCCTGTTGGGGCGCCCCTCCCCACTATATATAGGTGGAGGGGCGTGGTGGCCAGCCCTCCAAGCCCTAGGGGCACATCAAGGGGGGGGGAGTTGGACTCCTAGTCCAATTCCCTCCTTTTCCATACACATGCGGACTTTCCACCTCTCCCAAGCCACATGAGCCTTGAGGGACTTGTGCGCCTGGCCCAGTAAGGCCAGGGCACCTCCCCTCACCCTATGCTGGACCTTGGGACATGGTGGAACCCTTGGTGGACTTCCAGAACCTTCTAGAAGCTTCTCCATACAATACTAAACATATTGAAACTTTTTCTGAAACCCTGAAAACTACTTCTCATATATAAATCTTTACCTCCGGACCATTCCGAAGCTCCTTGAGACGTCCGGGATCTCATCCGGGACTCCAAACAACATCCAGTCACCAACATGCATATCCCAATATTACTTCAGCATCCCCGAATGTTAAGCGTGCGGACCCTACGAGTTCGAGAATCATGTAGACATGACCGAGACACCTCTCCGATCAATAACTAATAGTGAACCTGTGTAACGCCCCGGATGCAACTTTCCATATCCGTAACTCCAACTCTTGCCTTTTTTCGGAGATGCGATATGATATTTCCTTCGTGGTTGGGTTTTGTCTTTTGTTTTGCATTTTGTTCATGCCATGCATCTCATCTCATAGCATCATGCGCATTGCATCAGCATTGTTTTCAAAACTCGTAGCCGTTTGTTGTTGCCGCTTCTTCCTCGCCTCCGTTGACCTTTCTTAGACCAACCGTTCTTTTGTTGCCTGACCGTTTGACCCACTCTTGCCAGCTCGCAGCCCCTCGCGCGCGCGTCCGAAACTCCCCCGAACCCGACCCGCTCAGTCATTACCATTGGCTCCGGATCATCTCCAAACATCTATAAAATATCTGCGTTTCTCCATTGGACTCCCCTAACCTTCTATTCTTGACCGTCGGATTTAATCGGAGGGTCCAAATCTACCCTAAACCCCCCTTTCCCTATATATAGACCAACTTCATACCTAATCTAGCCTAATCCCAAAAACCTAGGCATATTGAGCTCCACTTAACTTGTAGTATTATTTGTTGCA